TAGGGTGGTTCGGTATTGGTAATTATCACAAGATCACAAGGTATCTCAGGGATATTTTATTTTCAACGGCTCAGATTTTATTTTATATTCTTTTTAATTTAATTCGTTTTCTTTTCCCAGTAGATAGGAGATTAGCATCAATTTGAATGATTCCCAATCTTTTCTAGTATCAAGGTCTGATCTTTTTAGATTTTAGATTTGTGATGAGATTTATCTTTAATATTTTTATTTTATGAGATATGATTTACCATGTCAATATTGTATAAAAAGCAAAAATTATATTGTATGTGGTTACAATTAGGGTGTTCAAAACGAATCAAAACCAATTACATGAAACTAAATCAAATCAAACTGACATAAACAGATCAAAATTAATTATAAATAGAGTTGGAAATAAGTTAGATAGTAATTTTTATATACTTTGAATGGATTTTGTAAGCAAATTAGAGACTCATCTCCTTTATTTTAGCTACTTTCTTTACTTATTTTCTCTTTAATTTGTCATGCTTTGCAAATGAATCATTCTCTTTTAATCATTATAATTTTTAAGTGTTTTGAGGTAAAATGAGTTGTATTTTAGGAGACCTCAGCTAAAAGCAAAAAGGATTTGAAGGAAGAAAAATAAAAAAACTAATGTGAAAATTAAAGTTTTGGAGGGCCTATCATGGTAGGAGTGTGTTGTGATGTGACAAAAAAATAGAGGACATCGGGGCCATGGCAATGTCACACAGTAAAACACGCAGCATCATTTTTTGACGTATTTAAAGAGTGGGAGGCTAGGGTTTTGAGGGAGTTGGGCGTTCTCATATATCTCTAAGGTCAAGAAGGTAACTTTGGACAACAAAAAAGGACTTGGAGGCTAAATTGAAGATTGGATAGGCACTTTGGAGCTTCTTAAAAGGATTTTTTTTTTTTTTTTTTGCATTTTCTCTTTTTCTACTACTCTATGCCTTTAATTCTTTATGTTGTCATTGAGCTTTTCAGCACAATTGAGCCATGTGTGGATAGTTTTGTTTAAAACTTAGAGATTTTATGGACCTCTATGCTTCGTAGCTTGATTTCTCATTGGTTGTTAATGTTTAATGGATGCTTTAGTGCATAATATGAATTTATTTTCCTCATTTTATTGGATGGTGAACTCTAATATATGTTTAGGTTTTAAAATTCACCTTTGAAAGAAAAGGATTGCAATTAGACCATTTATTAAACAATTTTAGATTAGAAATTATCTAATTTATTCTTGAGATAGACATATGCTTAAGAGCTTGAGATAATCTTTGTCAGACTTATATATCATTGAATCATGACTTACATGAGACATCATAACATCAGTTAGATTATGATTTTTTGTGATTAAGGGACACTTAGATCTCATTAGGAGCCTTGATTCTAAAGTTGAAATTAAACTTGATAACTAGGAGAAATTGAATTGTAAAGTATAAAAGAGGATTAGAATTTTCAAGGTGTTTCTTGAATGCTTATCTTACCTCAAAGTTATTTTTTTGCTTTTGTTAGTATTTAAATTGTTAATTCATAAAAATTTCACTCTTTGATTAGCTAACTTTACTAAGATGAAATAAATTTTGTTTGTACCCAATCCCTTTTACTTTAATCTTTTGTGAGACGACCTTGATTCAAGTTATTACTTTTGATTTATTTACTTGGGATGCGTTTGAATTTTTCACGTATCTCTAAGCTAGCTTTTAACTAAATAAACTTGAACCTAACATAAAATTTATATAAGTTTTTTTTTTTTTACAACTCAAACCTAAACCTACATAAAGCTTGGCTTAACATAAAAACTTATTTTAAAAAGCGTACATATTATGACTATTAATATGCTGGAAGCTATTTAAAAGCATGTGTGGTAGGTTAGATTCCTAATTCTTGACTTTAAAATAGGCTTACATTAATAGGTTATAAAGATCTCAAATAAACTTTATAACTATTAAAGCTTGCATATGCACAACTTAATTTACCAACTATAATACATACTTTCTCTGATTTAAAATATAAACATTTTTCCATAGCTAATCTTGGTTCAAAATATAAACAACCTAGTACGTGGAAAAAAAAATTATATTACCCCTTGTATTTATTAATGTAGATATTTGTATAAATATATCTTTTACTCATAATAGAGTGCATTAATAATTAGGACTAAGGGTAAAAAAAAGAAAAATAATATATATTTTAATGACAATTAAAACTTTATTAGTATGCAGATTTTTCCCAAAAACTCTTGTATTTTGGACTAGAGGGAGTATATTAGTAATTGGGACTGGGCATAAAAAAGAAAAATAATACGTATTTTAACAAGAATGATAATTTTATTGATATGTGAATTTTTTTTGAAAACTAATTATATTTTGGACAATAGCAAGTAACAAACATGGGGACATGCCAACTATAATATAATTCAACAATACAGTAATAATACAGAAATTAATAATTCAATACATAAGGCCAAAATGATTGAAAACATGACCCAAAGATTAGAAATTAAAAAGAGTTGACCTATTAAAAACAAATGATAAAATTGTCATATCATCAATTCATCGCATAAAAGCTAACAGAAAGGAACATTGGCAAGAAACAATTTGTCTACTACGAGTTTTGTTTCAGAGGAAAAATGAGAAGAAAGAGGGTGGACTTGATTATTTTCTAATTTTTAGATTCAATATTATATATATTATATTAAATATATTAAAATTATATATATGTAATATATTATATAATAATATCTATGTAAATAGATTGGCTATAAGGCTTTTAGCTCAAGTTTTGTAAAATTAGACCTAACTTATTTACATAAATAGGCATAATCAAAAGCTTAAATCTAACTTAATTTATTTAATAAATAGGTTAAGATAAATCAAAAGTAAGCCAAGTATTAGGCCTCTGATAGATCACCTGGCCTATTTCGATCCCTAATTATAAATAAGATTTGATTGGGTTTCTCTTCACAAAATTAATTAATTTAGTTTGATGTAGATTTTTGCCTTTAAAACTTTAAACTAAACTGAATCAATTTTTATTATATTTATTTATATATTTCTATAAATTTGTCTACGTTATTCTATCTTTTCTGTGTTTAGTTATTTTTGAATCATTAGTAAATAATATGCTAAAATTAGTTAAATGTTATTTATAATTATATATGATAATTTTTAATTATTTATTTTATTGATAACATATTTTTTTCCAATATTTAAATATGTGAATTAATTACTAAAAATATTCTTTTTTGTCTTCAAGATATTTTTTTCATTGGAAACAATAATTAATAATTAAAAATTATCACTAAATATGCGCCTTTACACACACATTGATTATGAAACGATATTTCATAAAAAAATTAAACTAGATCTAAATCTGAACCTAATCAAATCACATTACTTAAAAATTAAATCAAGCTGAATAAATAAAAAAAATAAATAGGTTTCAAACTTTAGCGAATCGATTTGGTGTTTTCTCAAACCGAATGTTCAAACCTATGAACACCTTTAGTTACAAATGATGCTCCATTCATAAAAAATAATTTATCATTTATTATTTATTTTAATTTTATAATATTCTTTTTTTATTAATTGTATCTGATTATTTTTAAAAAGCTGCTTAAAATATCTTTTCATAATGATAAAAACTCTGCTTCAATTTCTTATTTTTTAAAAAAATTAAATAAACATGATAAAATATTTCAATTTTTTTGAAGTGATTTTTTAATGAAAAGAGGTGTACAAGATATTGAAACTTTCGGTTTCTAGAGTTTAATTTTTACGAATTAAATCCTTAAAATTTTATAATAATATATAATTAGTCCTTATAGTTTGAAGTAAAAACACTATTAAAATTATGCAGTGAAATCATTTTTCTAGGCATCATCATCGCCTCTCATTGTCACTACTTGCTTTTTTATCATCATACATTTTCTTATTGGATGAGTCTTCTATCATTGTGCATCTTCTCCTTCATTATTTTGTATTAGAAGTCAGGACAAATTTAAAGGATCAACTCAATAACTAAAATAAATTTAAAAATTTTGATTGATAAAAATTAAATTTAAAAGACTAAATTATAACTGACTGACAATTTCATTCTCCCAAATCTAAATGAATTTGTACTCATCTCAAATTCACTTCTTACTCTTATTGAGCCTTTTCGTTAGTTTTCTCATGTTAAACTCATGCAATATTTGATAAGCAAAACAATGTTTTAAAAATAACTTTCCATAATTGGCGGGAGAGAAAAGTGAGGGGAGAAGAAAAGTGAGAGAAAAAAATAAAAAGAAAATAACATAGTTCCCTGTTTGATTATGAAGAAAAAGGTGGAGGTGAGAAAAAAATAAAAAGAAAATAACATGTGGGATCCACATATTTTTATCTTCAATTTTTCTCTCCAAATATGAAGAAAAAATTTTATTTTTAAATTTACTCACTAATCTTTCCATTGCTGCCTCTTGCTTCCCTCTATTTTATTATGATATTTGTAGCATAATGACATTTTGATAATGAAATTTTGTTAAACAAGAAATATATTTAATTTTTAGATTAATTAAAAAATATTAATTCTAAATTTTTAGTTAAGTATCATATATTTGGTTTTATTTTCAAATTTTAAGATTATTACATAATTAATAATTTAATAAATAAAATTTTAAATTAAATAAAATAATTTTAAATTATGTTTTTGTTCATTCAATAATATATGATAGAAATTATCATATATAAATATGTTAATATATTAAATTTTATTATATAAATATTTTTATAAATAATAAGGTTATTATTATTTATATAAAATTAATAATTTTTTTCTCCTTTCTGTTTTTTCTTATTTAGCTAAGTAGAGAAAATTATATCTCTCCGCTTTTCTCTTTTCATATTTTCTCTCCTTTCATTTTTTTTTCTATTTAATCTATTTATTTAGTAAACCCAACATGTTAAAAGGAAGCATGCTCGGTCAGAGCTGTTCTTTGTCACAACAATGGAAGAACTAAATTAAACCCCAAGAAGTAAAAGGATGTGAGCTTTTCCTTTCTTCCTATTTACAACGAATCACAGCAAACATGTGAATCAATTTTCTTCTTCATTATTATCATCTCGGTTGGTGATCTTCTCTTGTGATGTTGTATCCGTTTCTGAAGACATTTTCTGTTCATAGATGAACTGAGAAACTAAAGCCACAAGAATAGTCGCAAGAACTGCAACTTTTCTCCAATCAGTAGGTGATGAAGAGGAAAGAGAATCCACAATTCCAAAAGTAAGGAGGCCAATGAAGAACAAGTAGATGTTCTTCCTGGTTCTGCTACCAGCTTTTTCTTTGGTCACATCTTTGATCTTTTCTGCTTCCTCTTTGGCCTTTTCTTTGTCAACAGGTGCTTTCTGCCTCAGATTCTTGAAGAAGAGCCCTTCGTTTCTGTCATCCTCCATTTGAACTTCAAAATCAACTAGTTTGTTCTCGTTCTCCTCAATCTCTCGTCTGTTGAGCTCTGCAAATTCCTCAAACTCTAGCATTTGGCTTTCTATGTTTGCTGTTATCTGTAAACAATCAAGGGAATATTGTATTTAGCAAACTATATTGCACTTATTTCTTCCTCACTACTTTAATTTTAATCTTCTCCTGATATAAAGAATGTAAGAAATGTGTCAATCATCAATAATTCAATATACTATAAAATTTTGTATTTAACTAAAAGTGCATAGGACCAACAGGAATTGAGTCTGGAGGAAAAAGTTAGTTCCTCATAACGTGAATAATCAAGGTTCGAGTTTTTATTAGAAGAAGTACCTACATTTAGTACTCGATAGTGTATGAAATAGAATTATTTTCAATAAAAAGACACTTATGGGTAACAACAAAAAATCCATATACTTTAATTATATTTTGTTTTTAATCCTTACAGTTTTATTTTGTCATTCTGAGTCTTATTAATTTGATCTATTCATAATATTAATATTTATGGTTTTAAAAATACACATAAAGATTATAAGCTGACACTGGCAAAGTTAATTTTGGTAACATATAATTGACAATGTTAATGTTTTTATTAACGTGCACTTAATCTCATGTTCGTCTCCCACATTCAATGTAAGTCAAACATAAAAGAAAGCTATTTTTTTACCTTAATTTTTATTTTTAATCATACCTAGTCAATTTATTTCTATATAATTGCCAGTATATTTTTACCATATCAGAATTAACAAAATTACAACGAAATTAACCCTTGTTGTTAGTGTCTATTCACAGTCTTTATGTATATTTTTCAAACTATATGGATTAATTGTTGCTGACAAATCAAACTAAAGGAATAAAAAAAATAACAAAATAACAAGACTAAAATCAAAACATAATCAAAATATACAGTAACATTTTCTCAAGAGTGTACTAAGGGTGTTTCGCTTTCCTTCTATCAGAGTGCTATAACTTATGAAAAGTTTAACTTGCTATAAATTACTAATATATCAATCAGTATGTAACTTAAAATTCATTGATATTAATGCACTAAATAAAGTTGATTATGTTAAAACACTAACTGTTAAAAAAAAAAATCAAGTGTTTATTATAGAGAACAGATCTAGAAATAGTGAAGTTGAAATAAGAGAGATACCCTTTCACTAGCTTCATCTAAGCCTTTGAGAGCATCTTCGCCGACTTTGTCAAGCTCAGCGATGGCTTCCTCGCCAAATTGGGTTAAATACGCAGATCTCTCATCCAGATAATCAGTGAGGCGGACCTTCTGAGCTTGAAGCATGGCGATTCTGGCAAGAAGTTCTTGGCTACGAGTATCTCCATCTGGAGGTGGAGATTGGGGATCGGAATCGTTGGACTTGCAGAGGCGCGAAACGGAATTTCTGGTGGTGAGAAATCTGGCGGAATAGAGAGTACTGTGATTAATAGGACTGAAGGAATGGTTAATCGCTTTGACGGCGATCATGTTTTCATACCAAAGAGGCGTTTGGGGAAAATAGCAAGAAAACGAGGAGGATGGGGGAGAGAGGGAAATGTGAAGGTATTTTGAACCTCTCGTTTTATCCACATTATCTATTAGAGTTTGTAGACAGGGACGGACATGGATACTCATGTTAGATAATTCCCTTCTTTATATCAAATAATAAATAAATAATTAAATAAATAAAAGCATTAGGACATCTAATTGTCTATTATCTAGTATGTGACTTTTGTCTTCGCATGAGAAAATGCATTTCAAGGTCATTTTTAAAAAAGAGTTGAACCGAAGCTTGTTAATTGTCAGCCTTTAAAAAAAAAACAATTTTGAGTATTTAATATTACAATTGATTCTTTTCTTTAAATAAAAAAGGAAGGGCTCATTCGAACGGAGGACCAAGATCAATGGAGGTATAAAATATAAAATAATAAAAATTAAAATTAAAATATTATAAAAGATAATACTTCCTCCATCCATATATATATATATATATATAATATTTTCTGTAAACTTATTTTGTCCCTAAATATAAGAGGTACTGTAATATTTTTGACCTATTAGACAATTTTGTTATTGTCTTGAAAAATGGAAGAGATATCAATTATGTATTTTACCCTACCACCATGATATTAATTGATATTATTAAGAATAAAATTAAAAAATTATTGTGATTTAATGTTATTTCAATTAAATGATAAATTTTTATTAGTATGAGAGATTCAATTAAAAACACTTTATATTTAAGGATAAAGTGAGTATAAATTTACATTACCCAACAAATAATAACATAAATTCAAATTTAATAGGTTAAAAGTTTAAAATATATTGGACTTAAGTAAAATGTCATAGGTTTAAATTTTGTAGAACTCAAATATGTTTTATTTTGAGTTTAGTATGCTCAAAATTATTAGGATAGTAAGTGCAAATTTTCAAAAGTTATAATGCATGCTTGTAAAATTTACCAAGTTTGAGTGGGACGTTTGCCCATCTTCACCTCAACTTAGGTTTGCACTCATTCTAAAAGATTAATTTATTGTGTGAGATTTTTTTGAATTTATAAACTCTACTCTATTTGTAAGACTTTTCGATATGAGACTTATTACAAAACCACCCTATCAACATCTGACATTTTTAGTAGCTCTATTTTACAACATTTTACTTGGCCTCTTGTTAATCAAAACCCTCAATGAGTAGCCATCTTCATAACACCAAACTCTTAAAGAAAGTATCCAAGGCTACACGTAGGTAGGATTGGGTTGGGCATCACCCATTCTCAATACTTGAGTATTAGGACTGGGTTTGGCTTGTTTGACTTGAAAAAATATTATTAATATTTTTTTAAAAATATATAAATAATTTTTCTCTTTAAGAATATATTTATTATCATTTAAAATATATTCTTTGTAAAATTAATATTAGAATAAAAAATAATTATTTAAAGTACATATGATCCACGACTATCAATTATTTTACATAATATTAAGTTAAAAAAAATTTAAAATTTTGAAAAAGACTTAAAAAATTGTAATGATAAGAAATGACCACACATATCATAAAAATAATATAATTCATGATATCTCTCAATAAAAAATAATACCATAAAATAAATATTATTCACAAAAAATATTTAGAAACAAAAGTGACAAATGTTTGGGCCGGATTGACAAGATTGCACCACTACCTAATGCCCACTTGATGTGCTCGAATGGCTCAGGCAGGGTCAGGTTAACTGAACTTTTAAGTAATGTGAATAATCCTAAAAGTACCATTGTCATGAGTTCAAGTTTAAAAAAAGAAGGCACATTTTAAAAAACTAACCTACTATAAAGGAAAGTTTATCATATTTATAAATCTTACTCCACTTATAAAACTCTTTACTCACGCATGACTCATTACACAATCCATTGAATATTAAGTATTGTGGAAATGAGTTTGCTTCCCCCTTTATGATAAAGTTTAAATTTACAAGCTTATTTAATTGGAATCATCTTCGTACCAACTAACTAACATTGATAGTGTCGTTAGCCTCTTATTGCATGAAAGACAGTTCATTTTGATTTTGTATTATAATTCTTTTTTATTGTGCATGAATATCTTCCTATTGAAATGAATCTTATTCAAGATATAATCAGATACCAAATATAAACATTTCACTTAACCAAAATTTAAATATTAATTCACCATATACAAAAGACTGGCCACTTTTACTCTTTATGTCGTATCAACGTAAAAATAATTGGTATTCTCTCGTCTCTGTCTCCTAGTCTCTACTAAAGCAAGAACCATCTTTCTTCTATTGCATGAATTATCACAGCCCAAAAATCGATGTCATTATAGTCCAATTATATGTGATTGGGCCAAGTTGGCAACAAACCAGTATTGTCCATAATTTGGTCCGACTTAATTTGGTCTTTAATTATTAACAAATTTGTACCCAATCCATGAGACAAACAGGAGAGAGTGATAAAATTCGAGGAAACAAACTTAATTTTTCTTTCATTTTGTGAGTTATTAGTAACATTCAATTTACAAACTTCACACAAGTTTCATCATTTACAAATGATTTATTTGTGACTTTTGAGGATAGAAGTTATTGGAATTAAAAATACACCATCAATGGGTATCGTATAATTATATTGAATTAATGAGTATTAATTCAATATATTCTAGTTTAATAAGGTCTGATTGAAAATTAAGAATTAATTTCTAATTGAATCCAATTTAGGAAGTTTATCTACCCATTAATTTGGATATTCTATCGTGATAATTCTTTCGCTTATGAGACGAATTTATGACTATTGAAATTTTCTGTTTTGTATTTGCCACCCACCTTATAATTAATGTTCATTTTTCTCTCCCTCTAAGAACTCTCATAGTCTCATTATCCCGTCCCTACATGGATAATCGGGGAGAGCTTGCTACCCCCGGATCTGGTGTTACTCTATCCCAAACTCATTTATAATTTGGGTGTTTGTTTATGTGATTATTTCCTTCGGAAGTAAAACACACAACTTAAGGTGCAGATTCTTTCCTAGTGGCAGCATAATGAGTACATAGTATCACTCAACACCACAGGAAAAAATGCTCACTCTTCACGCAAAGGTTGGTTTAAACTAACATTGAAGCAATCTTCATTAAAAAAAAAAAAACAATAATTTAAACAAATCAAATAAAATATATACAGATCGAAACGTATGACAATGCAACTAACAAGAATTAAATGAAAAAAAAAAAAAAACAAGATACGGAGAATTCCGACCTAACAAATTAAAGCCACTGATATCTAAGGCTGTAAGCCATTAAAGCTGCCTAGAAATGCAAGGAACGAATAATTAGCGGGAGGGCTGTGTGTCCTAACGCTAGAGCCAACGCGTCAACGAGAAGATGCAGTGATCCTCTTGTATGTATACCTCTTGGCGACCCAGATGAAGACAAGGAAGTCAAGCAAGCTGAGAACGGCCAAGAGCCAGTAGAAATAATCAAGATGACCCCTGTTAAGATTATCTGGAATCCAACCAAGCTTGCCATGCCTTGTGGTTTCTTTAGTCACAATAGTAACAAGCAGGGTGCTCAAATAATTCCCTAATGCATTAGTTGTGAGCGACAGAGCTGAGCACAAGCTTCTCATTGCATCAGGTGCTTCGTTATAGAAAAACTCCAGTTGACCAATGTTAACAAACACTTCAGCACATCCAACCAGAAAATACTGTGGCACTTGCCAGAAAATCGACATGGGGATGTACTCGAGGTCGTAGTAGTTGTTCCTCCGAACCATGCTGAGACGAACAACCTCTAAAATCCCAGCAACAATCATGGAGAAAATGGAAATGACAAGCCCTATGCCCATTCGTTGAAGCTGTGTGAATCCTCTCTCATGGCCAGTGAATTTCCTCGCATAGGGGACAATGATGAGGTCGTATACTGGTGCCCAGAAGATGACACTGAGAGTGTCGAAAAGGGAGAGGGAGGCTGATGGGATTTTGAAGTGAGGGCCAATATGCTGGTCCATTGTGTTGCCCTGTAAAACAAACATGGTGTTCATCTGACTGTATACAGTTGCAAAGATGATCAGTAATGCCCATATTGGCAACAAGCGAATTATGGCCTTCAGCTCCTGCACTTGTGTCACTGTGCAGAGCCTCCATGGACTTGGTGATCCCTTCATGGTATCAGATTCAGTCTCCACCGCTGCCTTATCTAAGCACCTAGAAACAACATTTTCATTTTAGTAAAAATATATGATAAATTAATGATATATCAATATCAAACCGGCAAGCTGGTCCCTGAATTTTTAGGCCCATTAACTATATAGTCTTTGGAAATTAGTAGGTGCACAAGTCAATTTACAGGATAACAAACTCATATCATATTAATTCTTTCATCAAGTAAGCCATAGACGTGAAAGGACATGTGATTAGTTTGTCATTTTCAGCCTTTTAGATACTAACTTGATAATTCAGTAATTTTCTAGTGCTAGAGTTAATAAGGCTTAATGAAGATCGAATTGTTAGTCATGTCTGAGTATTCTTGTAATTGTCTATGCCAATTGTATTCTTAATATATAGGAAGTTATTTGCAATTTATCATAGAGAAATAACCATCCAGTAATATGTTAACAGTTAATAGTATTAAGATACTTCAAATTGCATCACTTACGAAGATAAATCATAAAATAGAAACCTGGTTTAAGTAACTCACTTGATGTTATCTGTGTATTCGAGCTTGCGGCTTCCTTTGATGTTAGATTCTGGATCGGCAGTCTCATAAAGAAGGGACTTATCAGCTGGTACCTTCACTGTAAATTTTCTGCACGCTGCAACGACAACTTGACAAATCCTCGTTAGGGGACTCCCTCCTGGTAATTGAAGTCTGTACAGCGGACTGCCAAAAAAAAAAATATAATTGCAATGACCATTGCAACTGCTGGGACTCCAAAACCCCATCCCCAACCAACGTTCATTTGAATCCAAACCAGCAAAGAGGAAGCAACAAGTGCACCAATGTTAATTGAAAAGTAAAACCAATTGAAGAAAGAACTCTTCCTTTTCTTCTCTTGCTCATCAGTTTCATCAAACTGATCTGCACCAAAAGATGACACACATGGCTTGATGCCGCCAGTCCCAAGAGCAATCAAGTAAAGTGCTATAAAGCAAACTGCTGTTTGTTGCGATGATGGATGGCAACCGCTAGCATCACATGATGGCTTTAGCCCAGGAGCAGCTGCTGACAATGTTAAGAGCGTCATTCCCTGCAAGATAAATATACGTACCATTAACAGAATATACCCCACCTTAACTTAAATGTAATATGATTTGTAATGACATGCATGCTTAGTTCAACCTTTTTTCCTCACAAAAAAACATAATGAAATGAGAGATTAATAACTTGTAGTGTCACACGCTGTTGGCAATGAAAATTGATCCTACTTTCTTCAGTAGAGTTGAAAGCACCATCGTGGATTAATCTTCTAAAATAATTAGTAAAATGGGTAGAGACAGACAACCCTAATGATCACAGAACCACCTTTCCCAGGTAGTTAAAATATTGATCTGTGATGACTATGAACCAATTAGACAATAAAATGCAAAATCATATTCAGAATAGTTCTCATGAAATGTTTGAATTCAAGCATGGAATGAAACAAAGAATAGAAAATAGCGTCTTAAACTTAACTTACAATGACGTAGATGGTAGAAAAAGAAGCAATTGTCCAGTATCTTCCCATGTACGCGTCAGCTAAAAAGGCTCCAAGCAATGGTGTGATGTAGCATGTCCCTGACCAGGTCGTGACATTATTTGCAGCAGTTGCATTACCCTGGCCAAACCGTTGCTGCAGATAGTTCACCAGGTTTGTACTCATGCCATAGTATGCCAATCTTTCACAACATTCATTGCCTGCCACAAAGATTCATTGCTGTGCATCTATAGGTATTCACATGCAAAGATTCTAAGGAAAAAACTGAAAAATGTGAACGCAATACCAAGAATGAAGCGGCATGCTCTCCAATTTCCAGTCTTCTTCTTGTTGGCAGGATTCTTGCGGATATCGACTGTTCCATCTCTAACATATAAGTCCTCGTCTGCCATAGATCAGTCTTTCAAGAAACTCGTCACCTACAGAGATCAGTTTTTGTGTTTTTTAAAACAAGTAGTGTTAATCTCATGTTAACTCATGATACATGTTAGTAAAACATACAAGAAGCTCTATAAAGTTCAGATCACTGGTTTTCCAGTTCATAAATGATTGATTCGAAAGATTATCCGCAAAGAAATAGTTGAAGATTCAGATATGCAAACCCAGTAATGGATTTCACGATGGCTAGAATACTCTCAATTAAACTGCATATGAAGTTATGATGCGCAAATACCGGGATATCGAAAAGTGCCTCTAAAAGAGCAGTTTGTTTTTCCATCGCCATGCGAAAAGGTAGGAAAACATGCTGGGTATTAGTCAATTGTAAAATATGATTACTGGGACCCACGAAATGAAACTCTGGGATTTTCGCAGAACGAAGAAGAATTTTCATTAACAAATCAGTGAGCAGCGAACACATGCAAACAAACCAGCGACAGAGAGAGAAACCATGAAAAGCGAGAAGCAGAGGATATACCTGTTTGGCTGTTCCGCTGTTCGCAGTATGATAGTGTTTGTTGACGATATTCAGATCAAAATCACTAGAAAAGAAAAGAAAAAATAAAAAGTGTTGTTGACGAAGGTAATGCGTAACGCCAAATGCGAGCGAAACATGGAGTTCTTTGCGGTTAGTGCCGTCAAACCGGCAAGAGTAACAGAGAGAGACGCAAAGGAAAGCAACGAGGAGGTAGTTTCGATAATTAATATGGGGCAATAAATAAGAAGCATAGGCAATTAATTAAATGTTGGCAAAATATGCATTTAATGCACTGATTTTACGTAAAATTTTAAGTTATTAATTTCATAAAATATTTTTTACTTGAATTCTATAAAATATTTAAAGGATAATATTTTCAATCCTTTAACTTTGATAACATTATCTCTGTCAATTATTTTTATTTTAAAAAATTAAACTTATATATTAATATTTAAAAGAATTTTGGAAACATCTAAAATTTAATATTAATATCTTTTATTAATAAAAATAAATATATTAATATTAAAAATAATTTTTTAAATAAAATTTAAACTAAAGTTAAAAAATAAAAAATGTAATTTTTTTTAGTTAAATGTATCAGATGCCGAACATTTATTTATGTTAAGAAAATAGGAAAAGGTTATCGATCATCATTGGCTGGGGGAAAAATCCCCCAAAAAAAAAAGGTCAATGATGAATTAGGGGTTAAAAAAGAATAAAAGAGCTCAAACTCAATTATTGTGTAATTCCCAATCAAATTTGAAGTTTCTGTTGTCGAAAATTAAAGGGAAATATTTATATAATTATTTTTTTCATATTTAAGTTACTTGCTTCTAAATAAATCATGACATGTGAAATTGTGAATTATTTATATATTACTCATTTTACAAAAATTATGATTATTAATATTATTAACATATTAAAATTTACATGGTTTGATTTGATTGGATAAAATTGGGCAAAAAAAAGATTTGATTGGATAACTAAGTCTTGCTCAAAAATAAAAATATATGAATATTATATGCCATTTAGCAACCGAAGAAAGAGTGGGCAAGTGGTTGATTAGAATCCAACTTATGGATATGATACAAGCAGAATGGGAGTATCAAAGTTATATAAAGTTTAAGTGAATCGGTAAGAACCTACTAGGCAATTTGGTAAAAAAATATTATGATTTTAAATATAACACTAATAATAATAGGGAGAGATAATCAACAATGTGCTGAAAAAAAATCCCAAAAAGAAGAGTAAAAGAGCTTGAAGATACTCTAATTCCCAATTAAATTTAAGGCTTTAATCGGCAAAAAAAAAAAAAACAAAAGAATTATATACTTAGCTATATATTAAATTAAGATATGTGAATCATTTATATATTACTCATTCTACAACAAACTATAATTATTAATATTATTAATACATTAGAATTTATTTTTTTATTTTATTGGATAACATTAAGTATATAAGGTCATATACCTAAATTTTATCCAAAAATAAAAATATATGAATATTATATGCCATTTAGCATATGAGGAAAGAATGGGTAAGTGATTAGTCAGAATCCAACTTAGGGATATGATACAAACAGAATGGGAATACCAAAATTATATAAAGTTTTAAAATCTTAGAATGTAACATATACTCCTTCCGTTTTTATTTGTAGGAGAAAAAAATTATATTACACAGTTTAAAAATCTATTAATTACATTAATTGTGTTTGAAAAAAAAAAAATTAGACTACAATACTTTTTATTAGTTGTATTAATCAAACCTTTATTAATTATTTTTTATGAATATGAATGATAAAATTATGAGAAAAAATTTAGAAAGTTTGTAATAAATACCTATTGAAAAATGTGATTTTATTCATATAAAAATAAATTAAAAGTGATAGTTTTTTCTATAAATAAAAATAGAAGGAGTATTAAACTAAGATTATATGCTTGAGCATAATTTTTTTGAACGGTTTATTAGTATTAATTATTAATTATTAATATTAATGAATGAAAAAAAAATGCAGTGGAGAGAAAAAGGAGGGAAAATAAAATAAAGGGTGTCCTAGAAACTTGTGAGTTGTGAAGAATAGCCACAGGTGCTAACCATTCTTGAAGCTGGTACTGTAGATAAAGCCAATTACCGTTCACATAGCCATTTAAGTGAATGCGCGTCTGGAGCCATATTTCTAGAGCGGCTCACCTGAGTTAGATTTGTCTGTTAGACTGATGGTATGGGTTACTTTGATTTTTTCTTTTTTTTTTTCAATTAGAACCAGAACTTTAATTCACAAAGAAAGTTACACTTGAATGATCTTATTATTTATCCTTTTATCAACCAAAACTTTCAAAATAGGGAAAACCAAAGCCCTTTAATTTGTGGAGATTTCAATTACCAACAAGTCTCATAAAATATATAAAATACCCTCAAGTCTCAAGTTTTTTATTTTACATATATTTTATGTTAAATAATTAAAGTACCCATGTTTAATTTAAAAAAAAAAATGCTTCCCACTTTCGACTGTCAAAGCCCCAGCCAACCACCATCCACTGAGCTGGCTACCAACAATGAAATGATTTTGGGAAGGGTGGCTTGAGGGGATTAGATCCAAGGCCACATAATTTTGAAAAAAATATATATGAACCACAAGACTGTTTAATCATTTTGTTACATGTATGCAAAATATATATATATATATATATATTAAACTTGGGGACACGAGGTTGGTAAGATAGATTTTAGTAATCAATTATGTATAAGGTAATTGTTATTCATATTAGGTAACTTGCCAATAAAAAATATGCACATTTAATAGTTAATTATAATGTAACATCTTTATTATTTACATTGAGTGACTCATCAATAAAAAATATGCACAGTTAGTATCTAATAATGTATAAAAAAAATTGTTATTTATGCTGGGTGACTTCTCAATAGAGAATGTGCACATATAATAGCCAATGACGTATAAGATACTTGTTATTTACCTTAAATGACTTATCAATGAAGAATATGCACATCTTATAGTCAATTATGTATAAGATATTTGTTATTTATATTGAGTTATTTGTCAATGGAGAATGTGCAGATTTAGTAATCAATGATGTATAAGGCACTTATTATTCATACTAATGACTTGTCAATAAAAAATATGCACATTTTATAGTCAATAAGTTATAAGACACTTGTTATTTACATTGAATCACTTGTCAATAGAGAATATGCACATTTAATTATCATTGAAATATAAGATACTTGTTATCCATATTATGTCACTTGTAAATAACCATATCCTTCATTAACAAGTCATGTGTATAACAAGTATTTTATATATCATTGACCATTAAATATACATATTCTCCATTAACAAATCACATTATGTGAATAACAAAATCATTAACTATTACATATTTTTCATTGATAAATCATCCGATGTGAATAACAATACCTTATACATCAGTGACTACTAAATGTACATATTCTCAATTGATAAGTTATTTAGTATAAATAACAAGTATCTTATACACTATTAAATATTAAATTCTATTTCAACAACTTGTTTCTCCATGTTAAACACACACACACACACATGTATGTATGCATACAATTTTTTGCATATGCATAACAAAAAGCTTCAATCACCTAGTGGTTCACATTCATTCTAGAAACTATATGATCTTAGGTTCTTATCCCTCCTAGACCAACCTTTCAAAACTTATTACATTGTTGGTCTTGGAGCTTCAGTGGGTAGTAGTCAGCTAGAGCTCTAGTGATCGGTGGTAGCAAGCGTTTTGAAAAATTTATCATTTGATCCTTATGATTTTGACTCAATTATAACTCAATTTTTAAACTTTAATTTGTTATAGTTCAATTCTTGAAATTTTAATTCGGTTATAAATCAGTATTTGACCTTTGCCTCTTGTAATTTAGTCTCTAAATTTTCAATCTTTTAAATATTAATCTCTATATTTTAAAAAATAAAATTATAAAGATTAAAAATATTTTAAAATTTATTACTAATATTTTAAATTATTAAACCCTTTTAATATTCATAAATATTAAAAGTATAAAATATTTTTAATCTTGATAATTTTATTTTTTAAAATATAGAGACCAATATTTAAGAGGTTGAAACTCCAGAAACTAAATTGCAAGAGGCAAAGTATAGGGATTGATTTATAACCAAGTTAAAATTTCAGAAACTGAGTTATAACTAATCAAAGTTAAAGAATTAAGTTATAATTGAGTCAAAATTATAAAGACTAAATGATTAATTTTTTCAAGCTTTTGTTTAAAAAAAAGTAAAACAAAGGTATTTTCATAATTTAACATACATATATTTCAAATAATAAATTTGGGATTTGAAAGTATTTTGTACATTTTATGAAATTTTTTAATAATTAAAATCCTCACGAGAGATCATGGAGTGATTTTCCTTTTAAAATATTAGCACCTTTGGTCAATCTTCCATACTTTTTAATATCCCCACTTTTTTTACAAACATAGTTAGTAAATAATAAAATATTTTCTTTAAAATGATAAAAATAAAAAATGTTTATCTAATAAAAGAATATGATAATCTTATACGCAAGTGTACATATTAAAATGCGTTGTAATATAGAGTTTAAAGTGAGTCATATTATTATTCATGACCAAAAAGTGAGTCATATTATATATCATTCAAAAACAATATATTTTCTATGGATTCTTTCTTAATAAAATAATATTAATAATAGAACTTTGGCTTTCGAAGTGCATGGCAAATTAATCCACAGGCTTTTTAAACATGTGTTTTTTAAATAAGAAAGAGGCAAAGCGTTGATTGAAAAAAAAAAAAAGATGGATGACTGACTCATTTGATCATTTAAATACCTTGATTCAAAAAACTGCCTCCACCACTTGACTATAAATTTTGGACATTGCACACAAGCCAGACGTCGATATATAATCGATATATATTATATATATATATATATATATATGAATAGTGGAGTCACATTAGTTTGAGCGGGTGCATTAGAGAAAAATTATAAACAGGGCATACAAAATTTATAACTTTACAGCCTCTACTCTTAATATTTGACATTATTTGAAATGAATGAAAAATATTTAGATTCAAAAACTTATTAAATATATAATATTTTAATAATTTATATAAGATATGAAAAGCATATATGTATAATAAAAGCCATATCAAGCCACGGACACAAAACATTCAATATGATTTTTTAAAATAAAAATAATGATTAAACTATTTATGTTATTACAATTTTAATCCTAACATAATTATTATTATTTAAAAAATATTAATTTTTTATTAAATTATTTTGCACCTCGAAGCCCTGACTCCGCCACTGTGTATATATATATATATATATATATGTTTTAGTAGTAGATCATAAGGCTCTGACTACCTTTTAGGCTATTAAAGCAATAGTCTAGAGCATCACATGAATTATAGGCCTCATTTAAGTTATAATATTGAATTTCATTTTGCAAATCATGTAATGATATGGATTTTAAAAATAAATTATAAAAAAATATTTTTTCTAGTGAAAAAATGACTTTATTTCTTCATAAAATGGTTGTTTGAGTATAAATTTAATGAAAAGTAAATGATAAGTACTTAAAGATATTTAAATGAAAATTTTAGTTAAAAAATTATACATTTGTTTTGAGATATTTTTGGTATTGAATATTAGTGATAGTGATGATATCAATAATAATTGCTATCATTTAAAAAAAATTTTAAATTCTATTAAAAATAAACCATATAAATAGAATGAATCCAGTCTATTTTTTATTAAAAATAAAATATTAAAATTATTTTATTTGATAAATTATTTTACAACTCACAAGCATAAAAAAATATGAAAATTTACGAGCTACACTGTATAATGCTAGTTCTCTATTCCAATTTCATCTTAAACCTTAAAACTTCTAAATGGGACTGAGTAAATTCTTGTCTCCAATATATTTTCAAACAAAGTCTCAAAAGCTATAAAGTTTTTAGAAGTGTAGATGCATGAATATAAAGATTAGTCATTGTCACCCATTAATCACACCATCTTAAAAAGTTATCCATTATTTGACACTATTAAAAAAGGTAGAGAACTCATTATAAAGGATTGAATGGCTATATTTAACCATGTTAATAGAGAAGCAAATAGCTATGTCAATCTTTTAGTCCACCGATCGTCATGTGATAACTTTGATGTTATGATTTTTTACGATCCCTCACTTCACTGTAAAATCTCTTGATTTTAAATATGACTATATTTTAGTTTTTTATATACGGTTATGCTGTGGTCATGTAACCAAAAAAAAAAAATTGAAGAGTAGTCTGTACCACCAATAATTGATGGCACACTTTCCATACAAAAACTTAATATAAATGCTACACTTTACTTAGAACTTCCCTTCCCGTATGTATCCAACAACACATTGCACCTTATGTTTTCGATGGCACACTTCCTTAGGAAAACCAAATGAATCAAAATTCACCCCTTTTCAGCATTTTTTTTTAATTTTTGCAAAAATACATAACCCAAAATGGCCACCTAAGATTGACCCAGATGCTAACATGAATAGCCTAGATCAAACTTAAGCATCACGAATCAAATAGCGTCTGTACTTTTTCTTTTTTAAAAAAACAAAATAGCATCAATACTACTTTATGTAACAGTCAAATATCAAATAGATTCTTAAACTCTATTTTAAATGAATATTAATTTTTTAAAAAAAGGGAAAACAGTTTTTAGTCCATAGAGTTGTAGTCAACTCTCTCTTTTTTTAAAAAAAAAAAAAAAACCTGAAGAGTGTAGTTAACTTAGATCAAAGTCTCTGTAGTTTTTTCATATTGTGACCAACTTTAGTTAAAGTCCCTATTTTACCAAAATCATTGCTACTTGAGTGACATATTAGAGACATGTCATCTTTAATATATTGACTAAAGTTGACCATAATTTTGATAATTTTTTTTTATTAAAAAAATTCAAGAACTGCAAGCAAGGCTAAAGGTATGTTAGAAGGTAAAGCCCAGTAGAGTTATAGGAACCAATTTTAAAATTGCTTATATCGTGAAGTTTTCCGGTCCATGGGTTAGCAAGCCCAAATAACTCTACGAAAAAATATCCAAATTGATCACAAGTTCACAACTATGACAATCAAAATCTATATTGCCCAAAAAACACAAAAAAAAACGAATACTCACATATTCAAGCCTGAAGTCACAGTTTTTTTTAAAAAAAGTTTGGGCTTGCTAAACCATGGACCGAAAAAGATCACAATATAAGAAAGTTTAAAATTGGATCCTATGACTCCACTGGGTTTAACCTCTAACATACCTATAGCCTTATTTAAATATTAAATATTCAACATATGCTTCTTCTACATTAGAAAAAATAAAAATAAAAATGCTTCTTCTAGATTACAATATAAGATATTGGTAACTATTTTAATTTTTTTAAAAGTAAAATCTTAATGTTTTAAAATTTTTTTATATCTTTTCTACTTGCACTATCATTACATATAAATTTGACATTTGAAATTTAAATACATCATTTTTTTAAAATAATAAATAAAGTAACAATATAGTTTATAAAACAATTATAAACTACATAATATCCTATACTTTGAACTAAGTAGGATTTTTAAAAGATGTTTTATATTATAATTTAGAAGGAGTATATATTAGGGAGAATTATATATTTGAACTTATGTGCTTGAAATACTACATATTTTCAAACTTACGCCCAAAAAAAAAATACTTCCTATGTTTTATATTATAATTTAGAAGGAGTATATATTAGGAAGAATTATATAATTAAACTTATGTACTTGAAATACTATATATTTTCAAACTTATGCCCAAAAAAAAAAAATTCCTACCGATTAATCCGACCACTTTTTTTAATTATTTGATTTTTCTAAGCCAATCAAAACAATATTGATTTATTGGTTTATTTATGTTTATGCCAATTGAAATTTCGGATTTGAATAAGATATATGTGTGTGACTTGGCATGAGATGATTAAAAAGTACCACCTTCCGTACCACCAAGCATCAGCCCCATCGACACCAAACTGCACGATGTGGACTCTTATCTATCAATTTGACTGTAAACCTAATTCTGATCATATTCCTTTCACACATGGGTTTATTGTTCTGTTATATATTGTTATTATTCTTATGATTATTGTGATTTTTACTTTTATTGTGATTTAAGGAAATTAGAAAAATCTAGATAGAACCGAAAAGGCGGGAACGTGACAGGGATGTTACATACCCAACGTCGGTTTAGTCTTGGCTTTCAAACTAATCATCATCTGCGTTCCCACTAATATCTAACCTTCTTTCCTGTGATTAATGACCTGAAAGCCATTTCCCAACCATCTTTTGTTTTTCTTGCTTAATCATTCTCTAATTATTTTTTCATTTTTCAAAAATAGTTTCATCTGTAATGTTGTTTGATTTAAACATAGTTATAGCTTGTATCTTTTCATGATTTTGGTGTACGATTTATACACTCGACACTAATTAAATAATTACATTTCTCAACCATCTATATATGCTTCTTGTTTGAGCCGATCTCAGTAAATATAATTAATTTTCGGCAACTGAGAGAGAGAGAGAGAGAGAGAGAGAGAGAGAGAGAGAGAGAGAGAGAGAGTATTTTCAATATAATTAATATAAAGTCCATAAATTAAATGAACCCTTCAATATCAGATATGTTAATATTTCTAAATCCTTCATGTTAGGTTGAAAGTGTATGTCTAATTTGTTGAAGTTCTATATCCTTCGTATAATTCTATATGCAAGATTTTCATCTCTATCTTGATTTGTTACTTATCTTTCATGCCACATCATTATTCGACTCTCAGGCATGAGTGATGAGATCAACGTACAGTGTTATTCTGATCCACATAGTGTGTGTACACACACACACACATGGTGCAATGACAACGAAATGGACAGTTAGTTAATATGTTTTTCACGAGAAGATATAGGACGAGAAATTAATTGAACCAAACATGAAATTGCTATGCATATGAGTGCTAATATTTAAGAGCGCCGGCAAAGTAATTTAAATTTATCAACTTCACCTGATTGATTGTGCTTGATGAATTATAGCATATATGGTGCATGAATCTTCTTGTGCAACATTAATTTCCCCCAGCAACATAAACTAGTTGATAGCCTTTTAATTGGTTAACATAGCTTTCTATAGGTTAATGCTAAATTTGTTATAGTGGATGTAGAAACAAGCTTCTAAACCTCATATGACACAATCCAATCACCTAATTAACACTTGAGACATATCCTTAACTAGGTAAGATCTATATATTAAAAATAGGCAATCCAAGTTGCACCCATTTAATAAATACGTATGTATGTATCAAATATACTTTCTTTAATTAGTAAGATTGAATTTTGACACACTGTAGCCCATAAATATTTAGTATTAAAGAGTAATTTTATCCTAAAATTATAAGTTTAGGAATGTATGGGATCATAATAAATTCATTTTTAATATAATATTTTTCTTTTAATATTTTAAAATAATGTAATGTCATCTCTACCAATAACAAAAATTAACTTTAATAGTTAGTTGAATAGAAAATTATATAAAAGAATATAAAAATTACAAATAAGTATCATGTAAAAAATTTGTAATTTTTTTATATTTTCTATAATTTTTGAGGCCATTTTTTATAATGAGATGATTCAATCTATCTATCTATGTATATAATGAGATAGATTAATCTATGTACAATAAATTAAATCAAGTTTATTCAGGCAAAAATGTGTTAAAATAAAAGTGGTTGAAGAAAATACATTGATGGCACTGGACATACAGCTTTACGTGACATGCAAGACATTGTGGGATGACTAGAAGGTTTGTCTGTTGTCTCTATGAAGCTATACCAAGTCTCTTAGTTCCCAAGGATACCTTCTCGCTCCACTCACCTACCTAACTGAGTAAAAACGACGTGGTAGCAATGCCTAGTTGGGTCTGCCTATAAAACTTGCGTTGGCTAGTCGTCCATGAATGCAATTGAAGCATACTACAACTTCAAATACAAGGTAACACAGAAAGTGAGAGGGTGAAGCAGAAGAAGAAGAAGAAGACTGATGATCCCTAGCTGTGAGTCGAAATCAATGGATTCTTGGGGTCGATTTCTTCTTCTCATTCTGTGCATTCTTCCTGCTATGGTTGAGTGCAGAGTGAGGCACTATAAATTCAATGTGAGTATAATATTATACTTATTGTGTGCCATTTCAGAACTTGGAGGGTATTGGTTAGTATTAACACGTATATAATGCTGTGTAGTGATTTTGATGAATGTATGAATAATTAAGCTTTATTCTGCTATCTTTTTCGTGAACAATCATCTTATCGAAGCTACTGTGACAAAGAAGGTGCATGATTTTATATAAGTGTTTGTTTATTGTGTTAAAGACTACTCTTTAAACGTACGAAAGCAACCTGCTGAGATATGTTTTTCCGTTTATTTGTTTTGAAACATGCATGTGCTAACTACAATGTATAAACAAAAACTAAGTTGGAAGAGATGTTTTAGTTCGATTTAAGTCTTAAGCTAATTTGAAAACCAGGCCAAAACAAGAAAAGCTAAGAAGAATGATAAAATCAAAATGTGAGGTAGATTATAGCTAGCTTGTGGAATAATGTGTAGTATATATAGGCAACATCAAGTGGGATTTGGATTATTCTCAACAACGAAACAAAAATATTATATCAAGTGAAGATAAGAATTTTAACTATGGATGTTGGAGATTTAATTTCATTTTTCATGACTGATTGGGTGTTGATTAATTGAATCACTAAACCTTAATATCAATCGTAGATAATATAGCCCATGCTTTCTATTATGACATCAATATTTTCTCAATAATGTGTACGTGATATTTAAAAAGTACAAGAGCTAATGATTGAATTCATGTTGATAAAATAACTCAACAATGCATTGAGTAATCTGAGTTGATTTCTGATCTTTAATTAAAAATTTTAGAAGAAAAGAAAGTTGAAGAAAAAGTACATAGTACTTCTTGCATATTTTCACTGCGTCACTCTCTAAATTTTACAAGAACTTAACAAGAAAAATTCTCAAGTCGTCGTATAACATCAATTTATTTGACAATTTTTTTAACTTATATTTAATCCTTTTTGAAAATATATTTTATGTGCAACAAACACATAGCTCGCATTTTAAAAATAGTAATTACTGCTCGGAAGGGTAGACCCTGTTAAATCTCCACCTAATTATGGTTTATTAGTCACTTCTTCCACCCACAAGCACTTCCTCTTTGTTAATTACCTGCATTCAAACTTACATACGCTTTGCTCTCCATGTGTGGTTGCAGGTGGTGATGAAGAATTACACAAGGTTATGTTCAAGCAAATCTATAGTCACCATCAACGGCAAATTCCCTGGACCCACACTTTACGCCAGAGAAGATGACACTGTACTGGTCAGAGTCAATAATCATGTCAATGTTAACGTTACCATCCACTGGTACGCATAAGGCATACCACCAACTAATTTACCTGACCACACAATTCATTGTTTTGCACTAGAATCCAAGAAAACATGACAATAATCTTATTGTGTTGCACTTGTAGGCATGGCGTCCGGCAACTGCGAACCGGTTGGTCTGACGGTCCGGCTTATGTCACACAGTGTCCTATTCAGCCAGGGCAAAGCTTTCTGTACAACTTCACCCTCACAGGACAAAGAGGGACACTTCTTTATCACGCACATGTTAATTGGCTAAGGTCCACTGTGCATGGTGCCATGGTTATATTGCCAAAACGTGAAGTTCCTTATCCTTTTCCAAAACCAGATGATGAACTGGTCGTGGTACTAGGTGAGCCAATATATATATATATATATATGTTGTTTCACGTTTTTCTAAGACCAAACTGTGACTCTATCCTCCGTATATATGTTCGTAGGAGAATGGTGGAAATCTGATACTGAAGCTGTGATCAATGAAGCTTTGAAATCAGGATTGGCACCAAATGTCTCAGATGCTCACACCATTAACGGCCTTCCAGGGACTGTGGCTAATTGTTCCTCGCAAGGTGCTCTTAATAACTCTTCACCATGTCAGCAACTGTTTTCCTTTTCAAGGAAACAAGCTAGATCCGAGAATTAAAAAGGTGAAATTGTTAATTTGAACATGCATGATTATGTTCTTGTGTGTAGATGTGTACAATCTACCAGTGGAAAAGGGGAAGACCTACTTGTTGAGACTTGTCAACGCTGGACTCAATGAAGAGCTCTTCTTCAAGATTGCAGGCCATACTCTCACTGTAGTAGAAGTTGATGCCACCTATGTAAAGCCATTCAAGATTGACACAGTCATTATAGCTCCAGGCCAAACCACTAACTTCCTCTTAGATGCAGACCAAAAATCTGGAAAATACTTGGTCGCAGTTTCACCTTTCATGGATGCTCCAGTGGCTGTAGACAATGTAACTGCTACTGCAACAGTTCATTACACAGGCACTCTTGCTGCTAATCCCACAATTGTCACAAACCCTCCTCCTAAAAATGCAACACAAGTTGCTAATAAATTCACTGACTCTCTCAAAAGCCTGAATTCCAAAACATACCCAGCAAAAGTCCCTTTGAAGATTGACCATTCACTGTTCTTCACTGTTGGGTTGGGAATCAACCCATGCCGATCTTGTAAAGCAGCAAATGGGAGTAGAGTTGTTGCTTCTGTGAACAATGTGACTTTTGTTATGCCAACCACTGCCTTACTTCAGGCACATTATTTCAACATCTCTGGGGTTTTCACCACAGATTTCCCTGCTAATCCACCTCATGCATTTAATTACACTGGAGCTGGACCTGCAAATTTGCAGACCGCAAGTGGAACAAAGCTTTACAGGCTTCCTTTTAATTCTACTGTGCAGCTTGTTCTGCAAGATACTGGGATTATTGCACCAGAGAGCCACCCCATTCATCTTCATGGGTTTAATTTCTTTGTTGTGGGCAGAGGAGTAGGGAATTATGACCCTAAAAACGATCCTAAAAACTTCAATCTTGATGACCCTGTTGAGAGGAACACTATTGGACTGCCCTCTGGAGGTTGGACTGCAATTAGATTCAGGGCAGATAATCCAGGTATAAGTTTCGGTGCCTGTTTATTCGACTCTGCATGAAGTATTGAAAGTTTGGTCAAGTCATCGTAAAAAAAGTTTTGCATTTCAAGGCCAAACTTGAGTTTCTTGAAAATTTGTTTTTATGTTTTTCTAACTTGATGTGTTTTGCAGGAGTGTGGTTCATGCATTGTCATTTTGAGGTGCACACAACATGGGGATTAAAGATGGCATTTCTGGTGGATAATGGAAAAGGTCCCAAACAGTCATTGATACCACCTCCTAAAGATCTTCCAAAATGCTGACGCACCCACCTCCCTAAATTAAATAAACATGAAAAAACAAGTCTCTCCAATCGGACAACAGATGAGTTGGAGACACAACGAGAAGAGAAGAGAAGAGAAGACCATTTTGATTGTTTTTTTGAACAAATGAGAGATTTTGTTCAATCCAAGTTCAATAAATTAATCGAGCCAGCAATATGTTGTTCTTATACAAACATTTTATTTTTCTTATGTTGAGGGATCAGAATTGGAGTCGACAAGTGTATGCTTTTCTTGTATGATGAAATCCATAGGTTGTTTACGTTATTACTTTGGGTTCTCTTTAAACATTTTCTTATTAATATTGCTTGCATTAAGAATCTGTGTATTAAATTAGGTGGAGGTTCCATATATTTACAATAAAATCAACACTATATATAAATGATTTTAGAGTACATCCCTTAAAAACAAATTGCAACTTATGCATTTTATATATGATAAATATACTAACTTTCTTTTGCAAGAAAGGGTGCGTTTTACAAATTAAGGAGCCAAATATTGATGCATGTTAACTAGTGTAGGTTCTTGTATTGCATGGAATTTAAAAAAAAATTAGTTATATTATTCATAACTTATAAATAGTGTAACTTGTCAAAATTTTTATATTAAATATGGATATCCTCCCAACAAACATTGTTTAATAAGGGTAGAAATGTTTGATCCATCCTATTTCTCTTGGAAGGAGTTATACATCTCAAATGACTGTAAACGCCACAACAAAACTTAAAAATTTACTTTACACAAGAAATATATATTTAAAATATGCGTTTGTTTGACTTCAAAGACAGTTCCTTCCTTTAGCCATGTTTGTAACAAAGATTTGAAGCTTGGAATCATTCCGGCAATCATGTGATGCAAAGCAAATTATTCTTGCATTGGACCTTCTTCACTCCAAATACCAGTTAGTAGTTAGTTCATGGATAACACAAAACACAAGCAAATAAAAACAAATACCTTAGACATGATGATTGCCAGAATTCATATGTACATCAAGCCATGTAGATACATGTAATGCGAGGATTAAGGAGTACCTCTTTTTTTTTTTTGTGGCAGAAGCGGAGGGCAGAGCCCATTATATTAATTAACTAATGGGAGGATTAAAAAGTACCTTTTGTCAATGAATATAACGTCTCCCATCTCTCTTTCCCTTATAGGGCTTCATCCGCATGACAGAAAAGGAACCACACCCATCTTTATGATAAAGAAGGCAAAGGAAGAAACCCTTTCGTAGGGGCCCATCTGGTAGCCCAACATTTCAGAAGATGGCCCATCTCAAGAGGAGCAGGCCTTGGGAGAAGCCAGGCTAATAAGAAGCCCTAGGCATAAATAGGTGAATCCACAAAACCACTAGCAGAGGTGGAGGTACCTGCTATAAAAGTAAGTGGGGGAGGCAGTGGGTGTTCAATGTGAAAATACATGGCCGATGGCATTGTTGAAAGGTACAAAGCAAGATTAATTGCAAAAGACTTTATCCAAACATATGAGATAGATTACCAAGAGACCTTTGCTCCTGTAGCAAAGCTAATTACAGTCCTCGTCTTTCTGTCTGAAGTTGCTAATCTTGATTGGAAGCTTTATCAGCTTGACACCGTATTCAAATTCTACTTCCTTCTATCTTGAATATAATACTTAGTTTTGGTTTTAAAAGAAAGGCATTTTAGAGAAAATCACACACATGTTTACACAATAATGTCAAATAATTCACTTAATTATTTTAAGTCATGTCATTAATTTTTTATTATAATTTTTTTTTCTTCCATTAAATGTCAGCATGAGAAAATATATTATTAAAATTTATAATATATTTTAATATGATCAAAATTAAAAACTGATTAAATTTTTAGATAGAATTAATAAATTTTATAATATATTTGAGAATAAATTTTCTTCTCTTTATATTAAAATATGTTTAAAGTGATTTATAAATAAAATTAAGTAAAAATAATGTTTTAAACAGTTTACAATTGAGTATCTTCTTGCCATGTGTAGCAGTCATGATGGTGTGGAATCTGGAAATGAAGCAGTGGAATAGACTAATTCCAACAGGAAGCATTGTAATTAGCAGAAAGGACAAGCTGGTTAATCTTCCCAATAACAACACCTTAAAACTATGATTAAGGAAGACTACTCTCCTCCTTTGAAAAACAATAAATGAAAATGAAGGCTCCTCCTGAGTCCTGTCATTGTTGGCTCAGAGTACCAATTTGCCCCTCCAAAGTCCTCACTTTCTCCGTCTCCACCCAATCCCCACCCGAAACGTGTCACACTCCATCCTCTCCCTCTTTATTCTCAGCGCCCGCAAGCTCTCTCTATCCACCAATCACAACTCTACGCCTTTGACCTCTCTCTCCCCTCTCTTCCCTGTTCCATACACAGATCCACCTCTCTCTCTCTCTCTCTCTCTAGCTCTACAAACACCTGACACCCCTTTCCCTCTTACTCTATGTCTGTACTCTCTTCTCTGCCCCTTTTTTCTCTCCGTACTACTGTTTCATATTTCAATCAATTGCTCTTTAAAGTTCATTCCCTTCGTTCCAGAGATTTTCCCTTCTACTCGTTCTCCGCTACTTCTTCTCTCTTCTACTTCATCGCCTTTTATCACTGAATGTCATTTGACTGGTCGTTCTGCGTCTGTCTGCCAAAATTTAACCTGGGTTTTGTTTTTCTCTGTTAATTTCTTTGTGGTTTAGATCTGATCAGGTTTATTGTCCAATCCGGAATTTTCCTTGGGTTTCGGAAAGAAAAACCCTTTTCAAGATTCTTCTGGTTGTCGATGTACGTGAAAAGGGGCCGAAGATTCTGTATACATGCTATTTGATATAATGGTTTTTTGGCCATTACGAGTTCCACTTCTTTGCATTTCCTCGCTGTGTCATCTCTCTCTTTGAAGAAAGTTCAAAGAGGGAGGGACTTCCTGTATTGAATTCTTGTACGCTTGCCATGTACGATTACTAGTCTAGCCACAACAATGAACAGGGGAATTGAAGTTTTCTCACCAGCCTCTTACCTTCAAAACTCAAACTGGTTGTTCCAAGAAAGCAAAGGAACAAAATGGACCCCAGAGGAGAATAAGCGGTTTGAGGATGCTTTGGCTTTGTACGACAAAGATACTCCAGATCGTTGGTTGAAAGTTGCAGCTAAGGTTCCAGGGAAGACGGTGGGAGATGTCATTAGGCAGTACAGGCAACTGGAAGAAGATGTTTGTGTCATCGAGGCAGGGTTGATCCCAGTCACTGAGAATGATAACTGTTCTTTCACTTTGGATTGGGTCAATAACCAAAGCTTTGATGATTTCAAGCCGTTCTATACTGTTGGTGAGAAAAGGGGTTCTTCCACTCGACCATCCGAGCAGGAAAGGAAAAAAGGAGTGCCATGGACTGAAGAAGAGCACAGGTAATTAAACTCACACCACCAACTTTCATATTTTGCTTCTTAACATATTAATGCTTCAAAGCTGATCCTTATTAGTTTAATCATTGTTCATATCCTTGTTGAAACTTGAAAGTTGAAACAAACAACTCAGTGAGACCGTTTGTTTGAGCATTGAACTTTAGCAGCTTGACTCAAACCGGCGGTCAACTCAACCAGCAAAAAAGATCACATGGATTCATTTCTCTGGGAGCATTTTAACTCTGTACGTTCAAGAAATGTGGGGGGTTATTACATCTTTCAGATCACTCAAACAAAGTTCGGGAATACCTTTTGATTATAAAACAACTCAGATAACTATGATCGTCATAAGCATATGCTTGATTATCTATCGTCCAGTGCGTGTTCTTACTGTTCTATGCCAATTTTAATGGAAATTTTACGCTGACTTGATTAAACTTTGCAGGCAATTTCTATTGGGCCTCAAGAAGTATGGTAAAGGGGACTGGAGAAACATATCTCGTAATTTTGTGAACACAAGGACCCCCACTCAGGTTGCTAGTCATGCTCAGAAATATTTCATCCGGCAGCTTACAGGAGGCAAGGACAAGAGGAGATCAAGCATCCATGACATCACAATTGTCAACCTTGAAACCAAGTCATCTCCTTCATCAGACAGTCACGGACCTTCTTCTCCTGATCACTTATTGAATAAGGCTGTGAATCTGCCGAAGAATCCAAATTTCTCTACCATGGTTAAACAGGAGCATGACTCAAAATTACCATGCGAATCCATACCAATGATTTTCAATTCACCAAATGGAAACATGTTCATGCCTCCCTATTTCGGGATTCCTTCAGTTGGATCTGGACCTCAGGAGCAGTGTTTACTCAGAGGTTCTTTCTAAGGATGTCATTTTGGATCTTGTGATTCGATTTTTGAAATGCACTAGATGCAGCATCACCTAGTGAAGGTTTCTAGAGTCCTGAAGGTACTGAATTGCTAACCCTTATTCAGTGATGCTGGATTTCCCTTTATGGGGTTTTATGTGAATATGTTGAGGAAGAACTTGAGTTGATTAGTCCCTTTTAGTTAAACTCCATGAAGAGACTAGTTCATATCTATGTTGACGTTAAAATTCTGGCTCTCATGATCAACCAAGGGAAGCTAACTTATGAAGCTTGATCATGAGCTTGTGTAATATATGTTTTTTTCTCGTTTTTACTTGTTTGGTAATTTGATTATGGTTAGGAGACAAATTCCTATGAGCTTATAAATATATATATATATATATATACATGATGCGTATTTTCTCAAGTCTAGGCGCAATATTTTGCTGCAGGACGCCCAGCGAAGGGGATTCATCTCATCTGTTATATTAGCTCCATTTTTCCATGAGTTGCTTGAAATTGATTATGCAGTTCCTAAGTTCTTTCAATTAATGAAACACAAGCATGCGCTAAAAAGTAATCATTAGATCATTGGAAAGCTTTAGAAAGGTCTTTGGTGTAATTGCTCATGTCATGTATTAAAATACAGAAGACAATGCCAGGATGCATTTAAAACCATAGTTGTTTGCCAAATAAGGAGCTTGAATATTAAATCACCTGATGAAACACTATCTTTAAAAATTATTCCACCGTATTAGAGAGACTTCATTGGCATTGTTAGTGGAAGTTGTTGAAAGTATTTAATCCATGTAACCAACCCACCTAGTTGTATAAGGTTTGTTATTGTTGTATTTGTATTAGAGAGATTTCATTGTGATAATTTCCTAAAATAAAACAATCCTCTTCTTGGATTGATTTAGGGGCTAGAAGTATTGGATAGAAAGTATGGGACCAAGATAGAAGCAGGGAATGATCTAGCTAGAGAGGAGTAGAACATGTTTTAGTTGGTGTATTTGGTGTCTCAAGGAGAATAATGATGACTCCAACACATGGCAGCAGAACCAATGATGATAGCTAATTAATATGGTATAATGAATTACAAGTTGCTAAACTTAATACAGCTACTCATAATCTGATGGTTACAGTGATTAATTTAATTAAAATTAATCAGTGTAAGGGATCAGTGGAGACAATGTGAGACTATATGCTCCTTCTCTTTTGAAATAGACTCATATATCCAGTAAGTTTCTTATAAGAACTGAATAGTTGTATTTCTTGGTGGACATTGAGATCCTAACTGAAAGTCCACGATTCTGCCGTAAATCACTGCTCTGAGTGCAGCCATTATAAGATCAACTATTACTTTTAATTAAATATGTGACTTGTTGAAGCCTCCAATAAGTTAATCATGTCTCATGAAGACCAAATGTCCCAAGAGACAGTATAATGAAGCACAGAAGAACTGTAATTTTGTAAATAGAATTATTGTTAAAACAATAATAAAAATATTATAAATGCTGTACTGTATGTCTTATTTTAATACAATAAAACATTGTATAAAATCCTAGTCTATATTACTGCATCCTAACAAGGTGCAAGGTTATGTTTAGTTGTCTATATACAAATTAAAAAAGAGCATGCAAAAATAAATATACTCCCTCTGTTTAAAAATATAAGATATTTTTAATCAAATCTCACCCCCCAATAAAGTAGTTACCTATTTTGAAACTAACCCTATCTTTTCATATTTATCCCTATTAAACACCCTAAAATAAATATAAAGTGATTATTAATAGGGGCACTTTTGAAAAAAAGACAATGATTATACCTTAAAAGACTAAATGACTCATAAATATCTAACTTCTCAAAAAATGTATTACATTTTCGAATGAAAAGAGTATATTCTTTTATGCAGTATTATACTGTTATTATTATCAGCAGTTTTGCATTTTCCAGTTCTATCTGACAGATAATATATAATATGTCCCTTCCTTTCATAAAAGTGTTGCTTATGCATTATGCATGGACATGCTTCTTTTAGTTACATTACAAGATGATTTATATCCAAAGCTTCACTTACATTTCATCTCACCCGCGTCAGCAAGACTAGTTAAGGTAAGAACATTTTATTACATGCATGTTTCTTCAAAATTAACTTAGGTTAATTTGCTTTCTTTATGAACAACCATATGAACATATTTTTGAAGTGAGTGGTGTGATTTAGGAAAAACAATGATGGAGGAGGTCCTTTTTGGGGTATAGTGGATGTAGTTGATTCGGACACTATAGGCCATGTCATCATCATGTGATTGGTCTGTAATTGCTGAGTCACACTGCAATTGTATTTCTTCAAAGTAAAGTGATACAGACACGCTAATTCATTGCCTTTATCTCTTGATTCCTAGTCACTAAAACATGCAAGAAACTAATGGATTTGAGTTGACTAAGTCTCTCTCTCTCTCTCTCTCTATATATATATATATATATTAATTATAAAAAAAAGAGTAATGGCCATTAATTTGAGCATCTCATGCTCCACTCTATCTATATATATTCTTACCAGTTACCACTTTAATTTGTTCTCTCCATAAGCATAAAATAATTTTTTTTCTAAGCATAAAATAATTTTATTCCCTCTTTTTATCTCTTTTTTTTAATTTTATTTTTGGGAGGTTGATACTTCCTTTGCTTTTTCAGTTGATAGATACCGATGTAACTTCGCGAACATTATTAAATCAAATAATATATTCGCATAATTATAAATCTTAGTGCTTGGACCCGTTTCATATTTGAAGGCGGCCTTCACACATTCCTAGATTATTATCCATTGTTTTCATATGCAACACACAAAATTTAAACAGCAAACTTTTACAGAAAACAATTTTTTTTGAAAGAATTTCAGTTAAGGATCACGGCAGTTACCTAATTGCAAGTGGATTTAAAAAAATTTAAAATTTTAGTTTAATTCAAAAAAAATTAAAAAATTTTGACAATAAAAAACAAAATATCATTCACTTGTTATGTAAAATCACTAGTTGTTAATTTTTTTACTTCATTATTAATTTAATAGTATCATTTATAAATTATATCTGTTTGTCAGATAATTGATAATATTAGTTGTTAATTTGTTAAATTTAATTGTTAATTTACTGATATCAATTATAAATTATAACACCTGTCAATAATTTATAACAAATATTAGTACATTAATAAGTAAAGTTAATAATTTAATAATTGATGTTGCTGCTTATAATTGAACAATTGATGTCTAATCTTATATAATTATTGACATGTCAACTCATGTAATTTGTAACTCATATCAGTAAATTAATAAGTGGAATAAAAAAATTAACAACTTACTAATTCTACATAACAAGTGAAGGGTATTTTGATCTTTTTACTATTAAAATTTTTTTAACTTTTTTTCCATGAACTGAATTAAAATTTTATAATTTTTTTAGACCCACTGATAATTAACTAGCTATTTGGTCTTTAACTGAAATTTTCTCATTTCTTTTTTCAAATAATCACAACCTGCATTTGTTCAAAATAATAAATATATCAAGATTAATGTTTATATTATGAATATATAAAATAATATCAATTTTTAGTACTAAATTGAAAAAAAATGTATATTTGGAGGATTAAAAAAGTTAATCTACTCGTATTTTTTTCAGGATTAAGTTGGTTATTGCTAATTAGAAGACTTACGTGATGTCATGCTTTCTCCAAATGTCGTTACTCATTATTTAGTTTGGTACCTTTATTAAAATAAAGGGAAGTAATGTAATGAATTTAAGAAATGAATGAATTTGACCAAAAAAAGATAATAGAAGAATTTTTTTTTTAAAAAAAAGGATCAATGAGACAATAAAATTGTCCGACAATCATAGACTTCAGGCGTCGGGGGATATTTCATCAAAAGATATGTATATGATAGAAAATGCTTTATGAAAAAAAAAGAATATTTATTAGTAATTAATTACCGAAAGTAGGCTTTTAAAGATTACTATTGTTATGGTTCACCTTCACCACATATTTAAAAATCCCATTCGATGGATACATATCTCTGCCCACATGCATGTTCTATATTTGAGAAGAATCTTGTTGTGATCTGGGAAGAATCTTTGTAAATTGAGCTTTAAAATTTTAAATTAATTTTTCCTAAGGACAAATTAATTCTTTGCAAATTAAACACGTTCACCAATATATGGTTAGTCCAAAAAAATAAAAATAAAAATAAAACAGTGGTAGGCATGAAACAGTTGGCCCCTACGCCCCTCTCTGTGCACATACCTACATATACATGCATACATATATATATACATACATACATATGTGTATGTGTGTGTGTGTACATGTATATTTGGTGTTGGTATTGCTAATTGGGGGCACTAAATATGTCATTGCTTTTGCAAGCTCGTTAAAAAGCCAAGCATCCATCATTACAGTACAGGTTTAGGTCTTAGAGTGATTAAAATATTTTCAAAATAATAATTTAAAAACGAGTGATACAAGAAGTGAGAATATGATATATGAGTGCATGACTAGAGTTTTGAGTTAATAAATTTTTGTTTTTGTCTTCTTACACACATGCACATTATTTGCACTGTGTCTCTTACATATTTTGAAAGTACTTTCACTGTTTCACATACTTTTGATGATATTATACTATTTGAATTCAAAGTTTAGGCCTCGCCACCAAAACCCATACAGAATGGCAACAATAATATAAAATTTACACGACAAATAATAAAATCCCCACTTTCCTTTTTGGCCAAAAAAGAGCTAAAAAAATTACATATAATCTCATTGTTGTCATTCTTCTAAACTCAATTATTAATAGATCTAAGAATATTTAATTATATTGAGTGAGACCTTAAAGTAATTCTTTAAAAAAAAATACTTGTTTTGATGTTAGTTGCATGTGTGTGTAGGAAAAAGCATGCACTAGTAGTGGCATTTTGCATTTTTTATGTATTATATAATTAACATACATATATATATATATATATATATATATGATATATCAACATCACCGCATGCGTTGAGACTAGTGTTGGCAAGAAAAATATAAGTAAAATGCAATTTGTTGAGCTTCACCATTCTGATTCTTGTTCTGCTATGTGCATACAAGGGGAAGGACAAAGACTATAAACAGGACCACAAGCCAACATGCTACAATTAATGTTCTGTGCCATGTGTGGGTGTGCTTTGGTTTACCAGTAAATGTAAATATATAATTCACCACTATTTAATTATTAAGTTTTCTATTAATTTTTCAAAACCAGATGGATTGATTGGGTGAGTACTGGTACGTAGCAGGTGTAAAAGTCTCATGACAAATCTCAAGCCATTCATCAAAAGTAAAACATGGCACTAGCAGTTGAGATTTCTTTGATGCCTCAGA